GTCAATTCCTTACTCATTTTGTATTGTGGCCGACCGGTGCAAACACGCTACAACGGCCCAAAGTGTTTCCATTAGGAGAAACTCCCTGCAGCTTGGGGAACGTCGCAAATATAGAAACACTTAAGTGCCGAAACACATGCAAATGAAGAAATGTCTTCCGCAACTTGATGAAACATACGCATCGTTTACTAAAAGCACTGCATAAACAAAACGTTGCAACACTAAACGCTGCTAATACAAAAAACCTGCAAGAAGCTCTAAAACACAACGGAAACGGGGACACTAAAAAGTGACGCACACAGCTGGGACCGGAGCGTTTGTTGACACACGATCACTGTTGGCAGAGTTAGCCTGATTCATAATTGTTAGAGTTTTGTGAAGATGATTCTTTATTTGCATGCGTTTTGGCACATTTTATTGTTAAACTTCTGCACGTTTCTCCTGATGGAAATGTTCTGGTCCATTAAAGCACGTTTGCCACCATATTTTGGTCAATAAAATGTCAGAAAGTAGTTAAAATGTTGATCCTAGTCTTTCAAAGTCCAGAGGGTTTTCTTTACTATTTTGTTTTTACCAAAGTAATCACTTTAATATGATATAAAACTAAGATTAGGAAATCTCAATATTTTAGATGATAAAACAGTCATTTCTGAACTTTGTAACCAAGTATTTCTACACTGTAATTTTGTAGTAGTTTGTAGTTTTTATTACTCCAGTAAAAGTGTACTTCTTCTGCCACTGACAAATAGGAAACTTTAACCCAGTATTGCGTACTTTCCCGTTTTGTTTTTACCCACAAAGGTCCAACCCATGTGGGATAACTACCGTGGTACAGTGTTATTATGTAATGAATCTGCTTGTACTCTTGGCTGAGTCACTGCTAGCACTGAGGACAATCAGACCATGACGCAGTAAAGAGAAAGCTGTTTTTAGATCAGTTACAGTACAGCTCTGTGTCTCTGATTTCACTGTCATTTCATTATGTGCTGAGCATCGATTTACTTCCAAAAATACATCTGAAGACTTCCATAAAAGTGACTGGTGCTCTGACCCAACGGTGCTGAACTGGTCTTAACTCTCTTTGGATTCCAGCAGCCTCATCCTGTGATGTCCTCTGCCACCGAACAGATTTACAATGATTGAACTGACAGTTTCGTTCCTACCCTCACCTATGGTCATGAAGGATGGGTCATGACCGAAAGAACGAGATCGCGGATACAAGCGGCCGAGATGGGTTTTCTCCGCAGGGTGGCTGGTGTCTCCCTTAGGGATAAGGTGAGAAGTTCGGTCATCAGGGAGGGACTCGGAGTTGAGCCGCTCCTCCTTCGCGTCGAAAGGAGCCAGTTGAGGTGGTTCGGGCACCTAGTTAGGATGCCACCTGGGCGCCTCCCTAGGGAGGTGTTCCAGGCACGTCCAGCTGGGAAGAGACCAAGGGGTAGACCTAGGACCAGGTGGAGGGATTATATCTCTTCGCTGGCCTGGGAGCGCCTTGGGATCCCCCAGTCAGAGCTGGTTGATGTCGCCAGGGAAAAGAAAGTTTGGGGCTCTCTGCTGGAACTGCTACCCCCGCGACCCGACCACGGATAAGCGGGAGAAGATGGATGGATGGATGGATGAACTGACAGTTTGAAGGACTTGCTGTTTACGGCTTCAATGAGCAGCAGTCTATTCTTTGTTTAGCAGGGTTTTTTGTTTGTTTGGCCCCTGATCCTGCTGCTTTGCTACTGGATGGCAGCGTTCGCAGGGCTCTCAGAACTCCACTCTTAATTATGACTATTTTTAGCCTGAATGCACTGTTGTATACTGTTTGACTGCAGACTTTTGCATATGTGTTGTTTACTCAGCCTCCAAGAAAATGTGTTATATACATTTCAAACCCAATATATGAACAGTAGCTTAAACACATGATTTTCAAAGAGGCCCCATTATACTTAGGTATATAGGTTTTTGTGCATGTAAATGGTCTGCAAAGGCTAAAATCCCAGAGGGAGTTTCTCTCCCACACACTCCCCCCCTGCCTGAAGGCTTCCATTGGACTTCTTTGTTTACTACTGTAGCATAGTGACATCACAATTTAACACTTGTGCTACTATTTTGTAGCAATCCAACACATTGTATGTGTAGGCAAGACGTACAAGCATTGTAGTACCAATGTAGAAGAGGGTATAGTGACATTTTGTGAATCTACTCAAGTTAAAAAACTAAGAAAAGAGAGAGACTGCCAACAAATATTTAGTGAGAACGGTAAGGACATTTTCCACATTTCCATATCATCTGGTAGATTAACATTTCTGGAAATGTAAGACTATTTCATTAAAGTTATTTTACATCTGCCTTTTTCCCCAATCAATTAGCTGAAAACATTTTGTTATTGTATTGCAGTAGACTAGAGCTAAAGTTTAGTCATTTAAAGTATTGTTTTTATCAAGTAAAAATACCAAGTATTTCATGGTTCCAACATCTAAATGGGCAGCGTTTCTCTCTCTTATGTGACAACTTGATAAAGAAATGAATTAGCAGTAGGAGTTAGGAATTAAACATGAGCAGCAACCCATACACTTTGCTTTAACTATAGCAATCTGACATAGCTGTACTTTGAACTGTAAGCAAACCACCATTTCATGGTCATTTGAACCTCAGCTATATGATAGAGTTTTTTCGGACTGTGATGCTGGTTAAGTGGAGCCAGAGGGATCAACAAATGACTGAATCCAGTGAACCTAAATACAGTAGAGAAACCATAGGCGCTTCCACACCGGAGTACTTTTCCCAGTATAGTTCCAATATAGTTCATGAGAACCTTTTCACCCCCTTTTCAGTCCCTGCTAGAGAGCAGGTACTTTCAAGGGAGAAAAAGGTTCCCATTTCTGATTGGCTGGAAGGATTGCAAACCACGTCCCGTAAAACTCCAAAAAAGTTTTATGAAGCCGCCATTTTATTTGCTTGCATTAGCATTATTAGCATTAGCCCAGCGCACCAACGTAGAGTGACTAACTTATGGCAACACAAAATAAAACATGGGGAGCGGTGGAGATGAGGAGGTGTCGGCGTTCTGGCGATTTACTCGGAGTAGAAGCTGCTGGGAGTCCCAGGAGCTTCTACTGAAGCCAGTCCCCAACTCCGGGGACTTCCGGCCGGGGACTCCGGGTGGCAGTATACGCCGTGAAGTGGTTTGCGGCCTGCCAGTAAACCCAAAGCAGAAGAAGAAGAAGTGACGTCAGCGGCTTCATTTGCCTAATCCTCCCCCAGGGACTTATTCCGGTGTGAACGCGATCTGTACTTAGTTCATCAGAACTAAAGAGTTCTGATGAACTAAGTACGGCAAAGTACTTGGTGTGAAAGCGCCTCATGACATTGAATAACATCCACCTCAGCCTCTGGACTGACGGGAAGAATGGCGGCAATTGTGGAAGAAACCCCATCGGCCCCTACAGGCGGGGGATTAAGCATTAGGTAATTGTGTTAAAGGAGAGGATTAGATTAGAGCGCAGGGACGAGGCAGAGCAGGTTAGCTGAAACTACCTCTGAGCTCAGGACATGCAAAAAGAGAAACATAGCACGGCTTGTGATATCAGTCCAGATCTGAATGATGACCAACAGAGAGGATATCAATCTAAAATATGTTACTTAAGTGTACAGACAGTGGAGGGCACATCGTCTGCGTGTGCCATCAGTTGTGAGGTTGTCCTTGTTCCATCACAGACTTTAAATAATCACCGATAAATATGATTACTCATCCTGCTCCCCTCCTGATCAGATCAAATGTACGGGATGTAAGGAACAAAGTGCAAGAGAATGTTCCACTTAATCCTTTTTTTTTTTTAAAGAACATTCACATAGATAAAAGAGTAACTGTATCTTTGGGTCATGGGTTGAAGGGGAAAGTGATAGAGACGTGGGGTTATGGATATGAAATAACCTCAGAGCCAAAAATATACTGCCGGAAAAGCATAAGGGTAAAATGTTCTTCTTTAGGAAAGGAAAAGACGATTGGTTGGTCGACACTAAAATATCTCAAGAAATATTGGAAAGGTTGCCATGAAATTTGTTTCAGACATTTGTGTTCTCCATAAGATGAAGCCTAATGACTTTTCCTCAAGTGCCACCATGAGGTTTGGTATTTCATACTTGGGTTATAGCCAAATAAGTGCAAAACAAATGACTTTTCTTTGTGTTAAGTTGTCGATTAGGTGACTAACCGTTTGTTTTGGTCTTGGACGACTACTAAGGGTTAACTAGTCTTTGTTATGCTTATACTCTGAATGATTAATTCGTAAGAATCATATCAGCAAATCTTTGCTAAACACAAGATTAACAAGGTGATTTTTTAGTGATTCTTTCTGGGGAAAGATCTAACAATCTGTCAAATACATCAACTAGTCAATTAGTCATCAAAACAGACCAAACTAAGGCGAGCACGGTAAACAAATTGCTGGACATCTTCAATAATAAATCAATGAATAAACAAGTGACCCAGCACTTATTTTAATCATCAATTGATCATTTAAGTAAATGTGTTACTCAAAATCACTAAACATTCTCCAATTTCAGTTTTGCCAATTTCCTTTTATATATTTGGAACATCAATTTACCATGCAGACACCCAAGCAGTTGTCTGCATGGTAAACATCTTGGATCGTCTTTCTTTCTTTACGTTTTGTATGATTAATATAACTTAACGGTTAAAATTCTGTCTAGATGGCGTCTTTCACACAGGTTGGCCATCACTGTGTCTCTTAAAGGCTGGTCTGTAGGAAATCTGTTATAGTCTATTGACTACATAAGTTACAATTAGGTGACAATATTTGGCCATTTTTACAAAAACAACAGACAAGCTTCAACACAATAAAAATATATTAAGCATTTGGACCTTACTCATAGTAACTCTGGATCCTGCCGGAAATACTTGTTGTGTGAAGTGTGAAAACTATTCTCAATGTCAGTATTATTAGTATAATCTCCATTACTTTTGAAAGGCGTGACTCATTGACAGTTGGTGTATCTTCAGTACTGAATTAAATGCAGGATGACTGATAACCACAGGAAAAAGCAAGTCATCCTGGTACACTCGTGTCGCGTGTGTCTCTCAACAGTAACGGTATGTTTCACTCTCAGGTTTCTAGTACTATTGAGTATTTTGTTTTTAATGTGTATTATATTACATGTGTATCTCTTTATTCAAAGCAACAAGGTTTAAAATGAAGGATTGGTGGATGTCATCATGTTAGATTATATTATTTGGGGTAAACACAATACAAATTCTCCTCGTACACTTATATACACATGTATCTGTGCATTCTACATACCTTTAGCTGATTTGAAGAGTTATAAACATATATTTATCTTGTTTAAAAGTTTGGCAAACATTTCCATAGATAAGCAGAACAAACATATCTGTCCTGATATATTTAGCTTGTAGATACAAATTACTTGCTTTTAACTTATCTTAATTAAGACTCCTTTTATTCTTAACTTATTTTATTTATACTTTTTAATTTGTTTCATATCAACCCAGCATCCCAACTATGGACCGGTCCGCCTGAACAGCATCAGCTACCGGACCTACAACGCCTCTCATCCCCGCATCTCCTTCACCCTCCCCCCCCCCGGCCTCCGCCAGCTCACCTCCAGCAGCGGCAGGTCCGGGTCCAGGTGTGTGAGGCTGTGCAGGACCACCGGGCTGGGGTCCTCCACCACCTCCAGCCTCACCCCGTCCCAAATGTTCCGCACTCTCCATGACGAGTCAAACATCTCAACCAGCTGTCCCGGCTTGATGCTGTGCACCTCGGTTTGCATGCCCGGGAAATAGACCATGGATGCACGCGAAGCCGACTGTTCATTCACGGTAACGTTAGCGACATTTTCACTGTTTTTATTTCAGGTTTTTTTCCGCAGAGACAATGCTGCTATCTGCGGCTCAGCGGCTGTGGGGGAGAGTCATGACTCAGGCTGAGGCTTTTCTAAACCCCGCCCCCAGGTATTTGCTGCCTTCAGGGGTGTCGGAAATATCAGAGACGCGTTACGGTGGATTAACATTCTCAACTCACTATTTGTATTCATTCTGAGAAAACATGGCCACAAACCAAAACATATTTAATCTCTTTTATTTCGTAGAAAATAATGTGATTCACTTTAATCCCAGAAGTAAAAATGTTTTTAATTGTTATAACTATGATTATTTCGCTTTATTTGTTTGTTCTCCCTATGTATTTTTGACATCCTCTTTGTTTATTATCTCTTACAATGATGCTTAATCTGTCATGTAAAGTTAAACTACAAATACTTCCGCACATCTGCATATACTTGCACATATGTTCGCATAATGTAAAAATCATACATAAGCGTATGAGAACTTAATATACGCATATGATGTATCATTTTCGTTCTTTTAATTTAGTTTTGAACAAGTCATTATTTGGTGTTTTTATACTGCTTTAACGCGAACATTTGCCCTCTGAGGATTGTTGTAATGTTCTTCTCAATTTTATCTTTTTCTTACATCTCTTAGTTCATTTATATATAGGTATTTTGTACTATGATAAGGCTGGATAGACAGTTGTATGAAAAAACCTTCAGAAATGTATAAACTAAAATGTATATCTTTAGCACACACATTTCTAAAAGTAACCTCCATGAATAAAGATCATATGACAGCTAATGGCGTCGACCAGCAACACCGTTTGTCACAAAGCCCTTTAACAAGGGCTATACTGTGTGGTTAAATAATCTTTACACCATGTATGGTGTAATACACATATCTACCAGGTGTCCCTGAAGGCAGCGTTACGTCATGCCGTTGGGAAATGATGGCAGTGTTGTTTCTGCTTTCACTATGGCAGCCGGCTTCTATGGGAAAATAAAACACTGATGTACAGTTCACTGTCCCTGCCTGCTGTCTGCACACATTACACAGTGACACTCACTTGTATTATTAAATCTTACATTTGTATGGACTAAAATAACATACAAATCATATGATCATTTTTAAATGCTGTAAAATAGAACAATTAAAAAGATGAAATTAAATATATTTATCAATATATTTAACACTTTGAAAGGCCATTTTGATTAATTCTAGCACACGTTTTATCAACAACAATTCTGTTTTATTATTATTGGTGTTATTTTTATTTAATATAATTCCATTTTATTTTGTATTTTTTTAAATGTCGGATTTTATTCTCCTCATTTTATTTCTTAAATGTTTATTACTTGTATTACTATTATGTTATCCTTTATCTGTTTTGTTACAGAATACTGTGACATGGGAACCTTGACTTTAATTAAAGTAAAAGGATTTGAAAGGGCCTAATAAACTATCGATTATTATCTTTATAATTATTTTATCAGTTAATTATGTTGACCATTTACTGGACTATAACACGTCTGTTTTGATTGACCCAAGCCAAATCCAAAAGAAACAGTGAAGCAGCATAGGCATATGCTTTCATTGCTTGAAAAGTCCACGACAAACCATCAACAAAAAATCACAACAAATGCAGAAAAACTCTCAACAAACACCGTCCAACACACAGATATGCATTTTTCCAGCAGCCTCCATTTTTCTCAGCATTAAAACTCTGAACAAGGTCACTCCAATTTAACATGTAACACTGCCTCCTACTGGGCAATGTCAGGTACAAATGTCTCATTCCACAGTAATCACCGTAATAAGATGTCTGCTGAGCTCTTACAATGATTAGTAACTGCCTGAAAAACAACAAGACGAATGACAACAACAACAACCTCTTTTTTACAGATGATTAATGGCGGAAGTTAGGTTATTTATTTGGCATGTTTTTGGCAAAGAACAAAGTGTAATTTACCTTCTCGACAGGAACAACAGGTGTGAAAGAGATGGAGCAAATTGTAACTGAAACATCTGCTGCACCAACTGAGGCTGAACGCAACCGCAAACAAGGACTGACCTCCATGGCTTTTCTCATCAAACTGCTGCGCTTCCTAACTCACACACTTCAGCTGCTCTGTGTGTGTGTGTGTGTGTGTGTGTGTGTGTGTGTGTGTGTGTGTGTGTGTGTGTGTGTGTGTGTGTGTGTGTGTGTGTGTGTGTGTGTGTGTCTTGGTATGTACGTGTGAGAGAAACAGAGCATACAGAATACCCATGCTGCCGTTTAAAGATCAATATTCTGCACTGAAAACTAGCAGCAGCTGATGTTATGTACATATATTAAATTATTTTAACACAGTGTTGGAAGAAGTACTCAGATTTTATACATAAGTAAAAGTAGCAATACCAATTCGAAAAATACTCGAGTAAAGGTCCTGCATTCAAAAATGTACTAAGTAAAAGTACAAAAGTATTAACATAAAAAAAAAAGTACTTATGCGTAAGGGTCCATTTCAGAATCGTTTCTACATGTAATCACTGGATCATGATCATGTGTTTATCACAGCTGATAAAGGTGGAGCTTATTTTAATAACTTTATATATTGCTTCTGGCTATCCTATGATTTTATGTCAATGTTTATTTATTAGATTATTCATATTTTGTAAGAGATAATAATCAGAAGAATTCAGTTGAGTACAAGTTACAGATACCTCAAAAGTGTACTTAAGTATGACATTTGAATAAATGTACCTTAGTATATTCCATTGCTGAACATTTTGCCTCTGGGATGTAGTGGGGTAGAAGTATTTGTAGCATAACATGGAAATACCAAAATAAAGTTCAATCCGGTAGAAATAGTACAATATTTGAGTAAAATCTACATTCCGATTAATTAACCATATATGCAATGTTGCTAAACCAAAATAATATGTATTTCGGCCAAAAAGACAATCTACTATTGAGTCTTTTATGAGACTCTAATCAAGAGTAATTTTACCCAATTGAAATGAGTATCTGGGAGCAATAAAATGTGCCGTTTGTTTTGGTATTGTTCTGTATGGTTCTTTTTAATCTCAACAAAAACAAATAAATGTGTTAGTCGTTCCCCTGAATACTTTGTGAATCTCCGTTCTGCGCTCTTAGCTTCACTCCAATTGTTTCCTACTGAAGAAATAATGCTTTGTTGGGAACTATTTCTGGAGGCGGATTGATTCAGTTTAGGGCTGTCATGAGTCTTTGAGGCAGAAGGAGGGTGTATGAGGAATGGGGAAAATAATGTCAGCCTTTTTCCTTTAATATTTAGTAAGCTGCCCCAAACAGCTTGTCAACATTAAATACAATTCATTGTTAAAGGCCATCTCATTTTCACATGTAAGTATTATCTAGTTGGGGCTGCTTGTCACATTTTAGATGAGTTTTCAGCAGTTACACCAAATACATTTTTCCTTTGGCTTCCCACATTGTTTCATAAATGTTTTAGGCCCAAAAAGGCTATGGAAATTCAAATTATTCACAAAAATCAGAAAATGAACACAAATGAGTGTAGCAGTTTTAAATCCTCTGAATTACCTTCCACTTGAGGTACATTTATCTGATAAAGATGGTTAAAGAAAAGCAGGTTTAAAACCTCTGACTTGAATGAAGAAAACAAAACTCTGAATGCTGACTTCTTTTGTCAGTGAATGGCAGGATCTTCAGTATAAAAACATCCCCACTGGTATGCATCTTTTGGAAAAACCCCACATGGGCTGAGACCCAGAAACCTCCAAGAGACCAGAGAGACGGCCAACTTTAAATCTGCTGATTTAACTAAAGCTCTGCTTCCATCTGCTGGAAATCAATACCAGAGGATGTTGTTGTGCTGCTTCCCGGGCTCTGGCTGATGCTACAACATGCTTCAGACGTTTACACCCCCCCTTTACTGTCCTACTCTCTCTCACATGCCTTTTAGTCAGAGGCAAATAGATTAACAGAGGCATATGTAAAAAAAGGCCCTATTATGCTTATTGGTGTTTTCTCTTCACTGTAGTGTGGTGTATAGTTTTGTGTGCATGTAAATGGTCTGCAAAGGCTAAGTAATAAACCCAGGAGCCTCCATTATACTCCTTTGTTTACTCGATGTTCTATTGGCTGGCGCTTCAACATATTGTACGAGATAGTCTAAGGGGCGGGAAATCTCTAAACTGTTGACCGATCACAACAGAGCAGGCCAGCTAACCAATCAGAGCAGACCTGGTTCTGGTTTCAGACAAAGGGTGAAAAGAGGTGCTGCAGCACAGGCAGTATGAGAAAAATAAAAAGCTTTTTGAACATTAAAGCATGGAGACATGTCCCAGCAAGAGCACAAATTACAAATATGAACCTGAAAATATTGATGAGCAAGAAGCTGCTCATCGAGATGATTGACAGGTGGGACTGACTTAGAGGGAGGATGGTGGGTGGGAGGTGCCAACAACACATTTCATGAATCCTCAAGAAAATCGTCGGCTTTCTAAACCCAGACCAGATGTCAATTATCCATTTCGAATTTTCCATTTCCAAGGAGTAGGTGACAAGGGATGTTAAAGATTAAAGTCAACAGTATATGCCATTATGCAAGTCATAAGGGTGTAGAAAATGTTAACTGAGGTACAAGTACTGTGCTGTAAATTCATGGTTTGTACTGGGTGTATGAGGGTTCAATTAATGGGGTTCAGTTTATGTGAGTGTGACTTTAAATCTGGATGGAGATTTGCGGGGTTTATTGATGTGTATAAATAGAGGGGATACATACATTAACGTCATTGAGATTGAGGAATCAGGAGAGGCCACTAGTAAGTGTGATTATTATATTTAATGTGATTTAATGTGTATGGGATATGTGTGATCCTAATTGGTGTATTGTTGTTGTCCTTTTTCTTCTAAGGTTAATAACCTATTTAGATTTGATTAAATCATCAAAAGTAGGAGTTGTTTCCGTCCATCTTGATTCCACCCATATTGTCGGGAGATAGACAGTACAAGTACCATTTCCATCTTTTACTATGGCTCATAAATTGTTGCTGCAATATTTGGATCAATACAGATTGGGTGCCAAATGATTATATTAAAAAAGAAAGACTGCCCCAGAATTGATCCTAAACACCACTTTAAGACAACAAGACCTAAATAACCCCTTAGAACAATCTTTGCTGAGATTTGAATTTAAAATAGTCTGACACTTCTGTATGGCCTGCTTTTAAAATATGCCTCACCAAAATTGAGCCCGTGTTAATTAGCCTCTTTCCTGACAAGCTTCAGTTTAAACCTGAAAGTTACTCATTGGCACATGAAGTAACTTTAAAGTATATAAATACACGTATCCTAAAGCAGTGTTTTGCATTCATGGGTCCAAACGAGCATTCACCATTGTGTTTTCCTTAAAGTGGACCTATACCTATATAAAACATGTCTGTGAAGTTTTTTTTTCAAAATACCAAACAGATCATGCATTTTAGCCATGCCTCATTTCGCTCTATTCCAGCCCTGTTTTTGCAAGGGCTGATTCTGTGACGTAGCTTTAATGCAAATGAGCTGCAGCTGACCACGCCCCCCTGCAGGAGAGGGGAGCGTGCTCTGATCAGCTGCTGGGCTCTCAGAAGAGGGGGAGGAAAAGAGAGGCTCCGTCCTCCGTGTATTATTCTTATATGATTATATAGTCGTTATTCATTTGTTTTAAAGCTCAATAAATAACAAAGAAGACCTTTGACCGGCACTTTTCTAATTTTGTCCGGAAGATTTAAACTTTAACGGACATGTTGACCGGCGAAAACAAATCTAACTGAAACTCTGGCGCACGGTCCCCTCGTCCCTTGGAAGAGGCGGAGAGGTGGGTGTTTGTCATCTGCTGGTGGACTACCGGAGAGCAGCAGGAGCAAACGCTTGCCTCGGGGAGGGAGAAAAAGAGCCAGAGCGTCCACAGCGGAGAATAAACAGAAGGGCAACCATAGCAACCATGGCAACAATGCGCAGGAAGTCTTCTTCGCTGCTTTTGTGGCAGACTACAGCGCCACTTACAGGCCTGGCATATGTACTAGGGATGGGAACGATTAATCGAATATTCGAAATTATTCAAGTATTCGAATAATTATTCAGGTGTTCGAATATGAGTTATTGATTTTTTTATAATTTTTTTTTTTTTGGGGACGGGTTCCTAAGTTGATTACATATTATCAAATTGAATAATTCAATGTATACGGCAGTGCCATAGCTACATGTGTTAGGTGACGTCTAAAGGTGTGTTTTGCTCCGCTCACCGGTCCCTCACAGCGGGCAGAGCTGCAGGTGCTGATCTCTCTCTCTCTCGCGTCCGGTTATACTTCACTCGCGTTTATGTCCAAATCCATCAGATCTAGCTAGTTCTAGCTAATGATATGGCTGCTGCCCCTCCCTACACGCAGATCACGCAGACTCAAACCTCATCTTATGCCCAAATGCGCTCCGCAGCCGTTGCGAGGTTCCGGCGCTAACAGTTCATGAGCGTGCTCCCCCGCCCCCTGTCAACACTCGTTCCAGCTGAGAGGGTCTTCTCGACAGCTGGCCTGATTGTGAATCGCCTCCGCACATGAAAGCTGTAGGCCTATAGCTGTCAAACTGTGATCACCAGTTCAATAAATGTGACAACATTGATTATACTTATTTGAACATGTATTTATTTATTTCCAAAAGTTATTGAAAAAAAAAAATTGAAATTTTTTTTAGAATACATTTTTTTACCCCATTTTTTTTAATTTTTTTTTATAGGATATGTACATTTCGGTTAACCGGTTAACCGTTTTTTGGGGGGTCGAATATTCGAATATAAATTTGCTTTAAAATTCCCATCCCTAATATGTACTACAGCGTCTCCAGCGCTTTCGAGCGGAAATGGCCGTGTCCCAACCCCCCATTCCCCTGATAGGCGGAGAGTTGCCCATGTAGGCGGAGCTCCCCTTTTCTGATGTCAGAACAATTAACGTCTGTATCAGCTCCGTTGCAGCCCTGTTTTTAGAGATTTGGGTATGGAGGAAAAGAGAGAGGGTTGTGTTTTCTTGGTGAGTTCCCTGACACACCGGGGACACATATTCATAAAAGACGTACAAAAGTGCATTTTGCATGATAGGTCCCCTTTAAAATAATAAACATAAACTCCATCTATTGTATTTTAAAGATATTCTTTTGCATTTTCTGTTTGTTTTTTGGCGGATGTTGATGAGAGAAAGAGTACGGTGACAGCCAAAGACACTTTCATTGTCAATACAAATAAAAGAAATGTGCTAAACCATATAATGAATGAAGAAACATCTCCACCAACTTGACGAAACAGGCACAGCGTTTAATAAAAGCACTGCATAAACTAAACACTTCAAATAAAAATAAAAGGGGGCATTATAAAGTGGGCCAGCTGCTTGCAGCGTTTTGTTTATGCAGCGCATGTTTCATAAAGCACATGTTTTCAAAAGGCTGAGCATGTGTTGTCAAGTTGGTGAAGATGTTTCTAGATTTGCGTGTGTTTTGGCACATTTGTGTTTTGATATTTACATGGTTTCTGAAAGTGCAGTGCGCTTCTCCTAATGGATGCATTTTGGGACTTTGTGGCGCGTTTGCACGGGTTGGCCACCATACATGGTGCATTCGCCATTGTGTTTTCTTTAAACCCATATCGTAAACTCCATCTATTGTTTTAGCAAGTGAAGTGTATGACTTCACAACAAAGGCCCCCAGCTATAATCAAAAGTGGTGTTCCATGATTTGCATCCAAACTAATAAGACCCTTACAACACATCAAAGTATTTATACCAAACGGTGGTTATAAAGTAGCACACATTATGAAAACCAAAGACAAAGTGACAATTGAAGAAACTGCTTATCCGCTACTGTTTTAACCTAGATTTTAATAATTGAAATATGTTCTGATCATCCAATAACCCAGAGTTAAATTAAAATGGCAAATTTTATAATTTCGGTACATATATTTTGAGTATAAAAAGTGTCCTAACGTGGTGTACCAATCAATACAAGAGACTCACAGTAGTCTGGATCTCATCAGTGAGAGCAGGATGACCTTTCGGTTACACAACGTTTTACTGACAGCGAAGTCACAGGTTCAATCCTTATCAATGTGTCCAAAGAGAAAACACTGACCTCAGTCATAATAACAGCATAGAACAATCCATGCTGAGAATGGATATTAAAATAGTTTGACATTTGGAGATTTCTGCAATAATTGAATTCCTCTACGATTGGATGGAGGGGGCATGGCTTTTAAGAATATGCCTTTTTCGTTCCCTTTCGGAAAATAGGCAAAATGTATTATTATTATTTATCTAGCACAACATAAATGGGGCCAATGGATTCCTTAGGGTTTTTTATTCATAGGAAGCAAACATGAATAAAACCTGTCTGCCTGCTTTGGATGGAGATTATGGTTCTTACGAATATGCCTCTGTTTTCTTATCGAGAGATAAGCCTACATTTAGCATTATTTAGCTTTTTTTCCTGACAAGCTAGAATGACATAATTGGTGCCAATGGATTCCGTAGGTTTTATTTTTTATTTTCATATGAAGCAAACATTAATCAAACCTGTCTGCCTGCTCTTCTGAATGTCCCGTTACAATCCTTGGTGTCCCAGAAGACACCTGTCCTGACCAACAGTCCACAGGTCCACCGGCTCCAGCACAACATCGCGACTTCCCTCAGAACCCCACCAGAAATCTCAGGATCCAAATGATCCTGAATGAAAAACGAGTCTCCAGAGCTCCCACTCCCCTCATCACAGATTGGCCGAACCCTCCTCTGACGCTCTCCTCATGCATATTTACTCAACCAGCTGTGTCAACAATGCGAGGAGCAACACTAGAAAAAATTAACTTTTGCTGGGAAAGAAAAATGGGTTTCCAGAAGCTCAGTCCATGTCTGTCAAAGGTGAAGTGAAACCTCTTAGTAATGGTGCCAAACAACACATTCCATGCAACCCCAGGCATATAACCGTTATACAGAAAATGAAAGCCAGAGAAGGAATTGACAGGGACTTCCCTGTTTAACTGAAAGGGGAAATTCTGAGTTCTCAGAGATATCTTCCGAGGTAGATTCTACAAATGTTCTACGTAACCAGACAATATTTGTTTAGAAATGTGAAGAGACTTGTTCTGCGGGTTAAAAAAACACCAGAGAGATGCAATCAATCATTCACAAAACACTGCAACAGATAAAACCCTCCCTTTCTAGTGATATTATATCTTGAATGCACTTATTGTAAGTTGCTTTGGATACATGCGTCAGCCTTATGAAATGTAATCTTTGTAGTACACATAAGAGTTTGATTGATAACTTTCAGACTGGCCTGAAATAACCTTGCCAATCAAAGTGTGTGTATTTGAAGGTAGGTTTGGGCAATAGCTCAATATGATACGCATTCATGAAACAAAATTACAGAGTATAAATCGATGATAGCAAGCATTTATTAACTGAAATGTCACAGAAAGTCTGATGTGAAATATTTGGAGGTAATCATTTGAAGATGGCGTTTTGTTTTTACATCACATTTCACTAGCCTGGTCAATGAGATAAAAAACTCCAACTGGCAACCTTCCATTCACAAGCCTTGTGACTTAGCACTTCATTTAAAATTGTTCCTTTTGCTGCAATGATTTTAATAAAACAACATTTTTTATTTCAAGATTAAAGATTCAAGAATTGTTTGGTCCCTCTGATAATAACAATCATGTAAAATTATCTTTCTGTAAGGCTCAAAGAAGACAAATAATGGAAATATATATATATTAAGACATATAATTAAAAGAAATATAAAGAATTATTGATTCACACAGGAATATAGGCTCCTATGTTTTTTCTTATAAGGAGCTATATCAAAGCGCTAAATACTCCAATATGTTAAGTTTTACCTGAATAAACGCAACCTAACATTAACAACTGCATTTTTGTTTTTCGTTTACAGACCCACATATACTGGGAGATAAACCCCTTGCGAGAGTTTCCCAGTAGCAGACAAGAGGAAGCTTTTCATTCAGCCTCAGTGAAGGAGGTCTGAGCTGTCTCTAACAGAGCTGGATTTATCCCCTGACATTATTTCAGCCATTCAGGTACTTCTCCCAGGTCCTGGCATTTAAAAAATGCTTTCTCACGTCAACTGCAGCCAACTGGGAGATCACTAAGAGGCAACCTGACAACCGTCGCCTGGGCAGCGTAAGAAATAAACCGGCCTCTCTCTGTTTGTTTAGAAAATGTTACCGTCAGAATGGCTTCTTTTTATTTCTGTCTTGTGCGATATTTCTGTCAGCACCAGGAGTTTATTTATTATCTGATCTGCATAAATGAAAGGTCGCATCTATGCTTTCATTGGTTTGGATTTCTGTTTCTAATATCTGTCACAATGTAAAAGTGACTACAAATCTGCATTAATAACATACAGCTATATGGTAATTAAAGGGGCCCTTTTATGAATGTGGTAGTTCGCCCTTTCCTGTAGTGTGTTATATAGGTTTTTGTGCATGTATGTGCATGGATCCCAAAGTTCCCTCTAGTGGGAGTTTCTCTCCCACACCCTCCTCCTCCCCCTGCCTGGAATGCCTCCATTGGACTCCTTTGTTTACCTCAGTAACATAATGACATCACTATGTTACATTCGATCTTCTATTGGCTAGCACTCCAACACATTGTACTTGATAGGCTAAGGCAGTGACCACCAACTGGCGGCCCGCGGGCCACATCCGGCCCACCAGACATTCTCATCCGGCCCGCACGACGGGGGTGACTGTGGCGTTGGCGGAGTGGTTACTGCGTCCGCCCCCCACCCATTTTTTTTTTTGTACAACGTCTCGTGAGTAAGGTGCAGTACCGGAGTCCAACAGAGAGAAAGCAGCTGCAGGACAGTAGACTGCGTACTGCGAAACCTTCCCTGCCTTGAAGAAGACGTGATCCTTCGTTGTGAAGAGTCTGCTTTGTGCGCTCCGCACCACAGCAGTAGGCCCGCTGCGACAGAGTCCAACAGAGAGGCAGGAGCTGCGGGACAGTAGCCTAGAAGCAGGGTTGGGTTGTAACGGAATACATGTAACGGCGTTACGTAATCAGAATACAAAAATCAAGTAGGCTAACTGTATTCAGCTGGCGTTACATTTGAAAAACGAGTAATCTGATTACAGTTACTTTAGTAAACCTGAAGTGAATACATTTTGGAATACTTATTGGAATTATTGGTGGAAAAGTTTCCTCACAAAATGTAATATTCATTACCGGCAGAACTGTGTGCACACTGCACAGCGCTGCAGCATGTCTGTGAGCGAGAGAGAGATGCAGTCTGTGAGGCCCCGCCCCCGCACGCAGATGAGAGAGAGATCTCTTAAAATTAGGGCCGGGACTTTAACGCGTTAATTAAGATTAATTAATTACACAAAAATTAACGCGTTAAAAAAATTAACGCATTTTAATCGCACTTATTTTTGCACCGCGGAACGTTTCTCACTGGATGAGTTTCAGGCGTACCGATTATACTGGAGCACCAACTAACGTTCATGACTTCAGACAACAACAAACCACAGTGAACAACAGTGGGAAATGTTGTTTTAAAAAACGGACGGATTGAAGCGTCGATAAGAGCACGGTTGTGTGCAAATTATGCAAAAAGGAATTCGCATATCACCGCAGCACATCAAGCCTCAAGTATCACCTCAATGCAAAACATATAGCAGCTAGCGTGGAAGCTAGCGTGGACGTTAGCCTCTTTTATCGCGTTCACACCAAAAAGAGCCGGTACTAAAATGAGTTCATGAGAACCTTTTTACCCCCACGAAAGTCCCTGCTAGAGAGCAGAGAGCTGCTAGAGAGCAGGGACTTTCGTGCGGCTCTCTTGTGAGAAAAGAGCTATATTTCTGATTGGCTGGGCGGATTGCAAACCACGCCCCGTAAAACTCCCAAAAAGTTTTGTGAAGCCGCCATTTAATTATCCTCGCATTAGCATTATTAGCATTAGCCCAGCGCAGAAACGCAGAGAGACTAACTTATGGCAACACAAAATAAAACATGGGAGCGGTGGAGATGAGGAGGTGTCGGTGTTCTGGCGATTTACTCGGAAGGCTTCAGTAGAAGCTGCTGGGAGTCCCAGCAGCTTCTACTGAAGCCAGTCCCCAACTCCGGGGACTTCCGGCCGGGGACTTTGGGCGGCAGTATACGCCGTGAAGTGGTTTGCGGCCTGCCAGTAAACCCAAAGCAGAAGAAGAAGTGACGTCAGCGGCTTCATTTGCCTAATCCTCCCCCAGGTTCAAAGAGTTCTCATGAACCTTTGTGGGAAAAGTACTGCGGTGTGAATGCGCCTAATGGTATACTAAAATCCATGTGAAAAAAAATTGCTTCTCACTGTTCTCAGGTCAAATATTTATATTTGATTAAAAATGCGATTAATTTCGATTAATTAATTACAAAGCCTCTAATTAATTAGATTAATTTTTTTAATCGAGTCCCGGCCCTACTTAAAATATATTGAAAGTTAGAAACGGAGATGGTTAGATAAAATGTGCAAGATAACGTTTATGTAGCATTTCTTTATTGTCGAAATTATGACATTTAATAACGGGATCAAATCAAAGTGAATGGCCTGCTGCTGCTGAATGCATGGGGCAAGTGACTGGAACAAGTTATTACATCGTTTCAGATAATAATAATGATAATTCATTCTATTTAGGGGCGCCTTTCAAAGCACCCAAGGACACCTTACAATTCATAACATATTCCAAGGAAAGGTTTTAAGACAGTACAAAGAATGCAATCCGGGTGATGTTTTTGATGTGGGGTGGAGATGAGAGAGCTGTCCAGAATGACGCCAAGATGTTGTGTTTGAGTTCTTGATAAGCCATGAAAACAGTAAAATACGTGTCTCCTGTTCACCAAAACATACCCATCTGTTATGGAAAAAGAAAGTATTCCAAAAGTATTCTAAAAGTAATCTGAATACGTAACTGTATTCTGATACTTTCAGAGTATGTATTCAGTAACTGATTACATTTACAAAGTAACCCTCCCAACCCTGCCTAGAAGTGATCCTTCGTTAGCGTGAAGAGTCTGCTAAGCTTTATGCGGTCCACACTACCTGAGCGTGCTCCACTAGCACCCCCCCACCCCCTACCCCCTACCCCCCTACCCCCCCCTTTCTGGGCTATATAAAAATCGCTGGCCCGCGATAGTGTCTATTGGACACATTTTGGCCCTTGGACAAATGTAGTTGGTGATCCCTGGGCTAAGGGGTGGGACATCTCTTAGCGGTTGACCAATCACAACAGAGCCAGCCAGCTAACCAATCAGAGCAGACTGGGCTCTGGTTTCAGACAGAGGGTGAAAAGAGGTGCTGGAGCACAGGCAGTATGAGACAAAGAGCTTTATGGAGACATGTCACAGTCAGTTAGCCAGTAATTACTGGACTATGACCGGTAAAATATGCTGAAGACCGGCAAATCTAAATCTCTCCGGTCAAAGTGTCCGGTCAAAATAATTTCACCTTAGCGCAATACCACATCAGTTGCGCAACTTGCGCCACTTATGTGACAGACAAAAGAGTAGGCCTATGTGACAGACAAGAATAGTCAACTCTAATGTCTAACACTTAATGTGGAGAAAGAGATGTCCTGTATGGGTTGATTGTGCGTTGATCTGTTGGTAAAGCCTCGGGGTTCCGGTGGGCATGTAAACAAATGCTGCGCAATACTTTGCGGCCTCACCCGGTTGCATAGCGACACTTATTGTTTAGGTGTCTTTTGATAAGCAGGTAGTCATATCATTAACTAGAACTAGCTGGATCTGATCGATATCGACATAAACGCGAGTCTAATCTGACGGGAGAGAGAGATCAGCTGCTGCTGACGAGTCAACACGCAGCTCTGCATGATCACATGCAGCGGTGAGCGGACAAAACACACACTTCAGGTTAGAATATCACACGTAGCTATTTTAATTACCTCTCAAACTACCCAAACTACACTCATTACTGATCCGCGAGCTGCATGAGACTGACGGGCTGTCAGGAGAGGGAGAGAGCGCTCCGTTATTCCCGTGTTATTATAAATTACTGTTCATTTTGAATAATGTCGTTACACTATTATTAGTTTGTTTAATATTGAATCATATCAATTTGTTTTAAAGCTCAATAAATAACAAAGAAGACCTTTGACCGGCACTTTTCAAATTGTGTCCGGAAGATTTAAACTTTAACAGACATGTTGACCGGCGAAAAAATATTCTAACGGGAACTCTGGTCATAGTAGAGGCACAAAATACAAATGTGAAATTTGCATAAAAGGGCACTGTAACCTGTTAAGCCCCATGCCTGTTTTTCAGGTCTCAGGCTCAAAAATGACATTCCCAGAACAAATGACTATATCTTCACTTCGAAAAGGGGTAAATGAATAATCTTTTTTCCAAGGCAATGATAAACCTGTGAGTTGGATGTAGAAAAGTCAGAATCAATAAAGATTTTTTTTATTTTAAAGTAAATTCAGATTGAACATTCGTTTTAATGCCATTGAACACAACTTTTGATCAGAAAAACAGCAAAGGTAAGACATTTGCCGTTTTGGCTCAGTAAAGCAGCTACGCTGTGTGTTGTCTGGGTTTGCCTGAGCTGCCGCGAGTTTTGGTCGCACAGTGATGATACTTATGCCGCTAGAATCTGTGGAATCTCAGCTTTCTATATATATCTTGTTTGTGCAGATCCGATAAGTAATTAAGTATTTCTACTGTGAGTTCTGTGCTAAGTGCGTTAGCCTTTTTTCACTCAGGGCTCATTTAGACGCTTCTTGTGAGACTTGTGTTTTGTTTCGGTAAAAATGGTTCGTCAGTTAGCTGAGTTTCTTCCCTTTAGGTGGGTATGACACATTCATAGTTTGTCAAATGTTAAGAAGCCCTCAGACGCTGTATCTTGCAGATGTTGCGTTTTTGCCCTCGCCCGCGGGTCTGTGGGGCTCAACAGGTAAGCAATTCAACTTGCTGGCTTGGCCATAAAAGCGAACAATATGCAAAACTTGTTTTTAGAGCTAATGGAGCCGCTACACAGATCCGTTCACTTGTACCACCTTCACAGAAATATTTTTAAAACTTGTAACATGGTTAGTCCAAAATATGACGTAAAAGTTATAATATTTTCAATGATCTCCAGGCAACGTCTGGACCGGAAAACGAAGGAGGCATTTCAAAACACATCGGAGATCTCGGAGGTTCCAATAGGGATAAATGGCTTTCGGTTGTCTGTTGTATAAATTCACAGTGCTATGTTGAAAGACGTAATATGTTTTTCTTTGCTTGTCCTCAGTGTGTTCTCACCTTTCCACGTCACCTCCACATCCACCAGTACAAGTATTCCCAAATCCCTCATCACTTCGACTGTATACATGTTACACACACCCTTGAGCCATTGTTCAACTACAAATGATCTATTGTGCTATGCAAGCCGTAGCTTTCCAGCCTTGTGTCTAGTTATCCTGCCTGCCTTGTTTTCTGACCCCTACTTAACCTTTCTGTACTCCAGCCTCCCTGTTGGAGCCCCTTGGACTCGTTTGACTGTTTTGACTGCCCGCCTTGTTTGAACCAACGACTCAAATCAGCATCGGATCATTTGTGAAGCGTTTAGAGACAAAGCAAAGAGTGAACCACAGTACAACAACTGCCTGAGGAAGAAAACAATCTGCGCACTGTTTTTCAATAATAAACACTTGAGTGTAATTATGCAACAAATACAAATATGTAGTCAGATTGAATTGTTTATCATACATTTCTAGAATAAAATAAGCCACTTGCTTGTTGAAAACAGTCTCCATAATGACACTTTGATAAAATGCTTCCTCGAAGAATCTACAAGACGGCAGACATCGATTCACTTCCTTTAAAGCCGACTGACAGTTTGACAGCTCGACCGCTTGGCAGCCGAGAACAGTTGGCTGCGTTTTTTTAACCATTAATGTCTGTCAACAACGCTCAGATCTCTGCACCTTCTTGTTTTTTGTCCGGCATCATAAACAACTGCCGTTCCTGGAAAAGATCAAGGCTTTAAACTTAAAGTCTCTAAAAACAGACGCACAAATTATAGGGGCGAATTATGGAGTGAATTTTATTTTGTATTTCAACACCCACTTACTTAAGGCTGAGTAATATTGTGAATGCATCAGCACATAAGCAATATTATGAGAGGAAATGTCAGAACAAAACCAACAATAACTACACATATGTTTAGGGAATGGTTATGGTTTTGGATAAGTGACCAGAGGAGCCCATGTTTGCCTTTTCCCAGGATAAGTTTCGTACAGTATGTTAGGTATTTAAACGGAAGCAGGAGGACATTTGATGTATGTTATTTATGTGGTTACGGCTGATTATGGGGCCAAATTAGCAAAGAAAAAAATAAAATAATTGGCAAAATGTTTAAAAAGGGCAGTGAAACCATGAGTCAACCTTGGACAGCCGGTTTGAGAGAATTACACAATTCAAAATGTTTCAAAACCAAACCTGAATGAGATGTGTCTTCCTCATAGATTGGTAAGCGCAATATGTACTAGTACTATTCCCAATGTGTATTACGCGCAATATTTGGTAAAGTTAAAATATGGGAAAATATTTGAATTATATATTGTGGAGCTGCAGAGAAGTCCTGGACTACAAACCATTCAACACGATAAATAAAAAATCCTTGTTTGGTACAGATCCTGTAATCTTTTCATTGATAACGTGTATAATGTCTCAAAAATGGTCATTCCCTTTATCGTAAATCATATCGCAATTGCAATATCAGTCAAAATAATCACAATTGGTTATTTTTTCCAAATGGTGCATTGACATTAGCTGATGCTTATGGAAACACTTTTAATAGTATACTAATATTGAAGGGATTGATGATTTTTGTACCATTATTCTCATAAAAAAATATATTGAATGGCTAACCCCTAGATTCCACCGGGTCCGTCTGGGGTGCGTTACGGCCGCGTTACGGCTGCGCAGCAGCGTCCGCAAGGATCGCGGCCACTCTAGTCAATGGGTGCTATTCCACCAGACGCGCCGCGTTACGGCTCAGAAGCGTCCCAGAAGCGTCTCGCCGCTGGGCTCCGCTCGAAATAGGATTGAAGTCTATTTTTCGTAAGGTAATGTCGGGCAGGCAGGAAGTGGAATGTTCAGAGCATATATATATATATATATACACACACACTAATTTTGCAGACCCTATCCCTCCGTAGTCTTTCAAGTAGGAGGAGAAATGCCAGCATTCTCCTCCGGTTTACAGACACTGTGTAAATTATATATATAGAATAATTATGATGATGAATGCATTTTTTTACCACTAGAATACAGCAACACATCTTTAATTCATGTCGTTTATAACTGAGATATTACGATTATTATTAACTTTGTCTGTACAAAAGTAGCCTGTCCAGGAAATATACCCAAATCAACAAAAACTGCGAGCCGGCAGGCAAGACGCTCCGCTTCTGAAACGCGCCCGGTAGGGTATGACGCCGGAGGAGGCCGGACCAAAACCGCGGTGCAGCCGTAACACGCCGCAGACGGACCCGGTGGAATCGAGGGGTAAGGAGTGATTACTTAAGAGGATCTTTCCCATACAAATATATTCCACTAGTCCATATTGAGATTTAATTACAATTTCAGTTAATTTTGCAGCCCTAATTCAACCCCAATGGAAATTGCAGTTTCTTTAAGATAAGGAGACGTTAAAGGTATCAGAAGTAGAGAAATCTGGATTTGATGGTCCCTAGCACCACACAACGTACGAACAGAGCTTTTCCACTGGTAAACACACAACCACAGTTTGTACCACAGGCTGTCTGTTGTAAATGTGTAGTCTCCGAGCCAGAGCTGAGAAAACCCGGATGACATCAGTATGATTTCATCAGACTTGACAAAGCTCCTTGCAGCCACAGAGGACTTAAGACAAGTGTGTTCACAGCCTGTTGATTTCACTTCTATATTGAATAAATCAACATGCTTGGACTGTATTAATACCACATCACCCAGTCACACCAGAATTCTGCTCCAGACTGCCGCCAGTGACTCGGTTTGACCCGAAAGTGGAATTCAGGCCACATGAAACACAATCAGGTGTTGTAGCCACGAGACAAACGACTGAGCGTGAAGAAAGAACGAGAAGGGCCTCTCACACTGAGAGCACATCAGAGTACCAAATCTAATTAAATATTATTGTTAGAGCACATTTCAGACAACACGACCTCGGGTGCTCTACAGATGTGGTGAAAAACGAGAAAGAAATCAGCTAATAAAACTAAAATGGGATTTGATCTCAACTGTTATATCAGGATTCTTGGCTACTATTTCCACAGGGGGAAAGCTTTTCTCATGGAGACAAATGCCAAATGGTGCTGTGTTCACAGGCTTAATGCAGATTGAGGATGTCATTTTTGTAGTTTTGTAGTTTATGTAACAGCACATGAGCACTGCTCTGGCCTAGTCAACATTTGATGTCAACATAGATTTTTGAAAGGAGAAATACTACAGTATAATAAACTACATGGCAAGAAGTAGGTGGACACCCAAACATTTCACTGGACGAATAGCTCATTATTGTGTGCAACAAAATATTTGTTGTGGCAAAACAAATGCAATTTTTATGTATTAGTTTAAGAGAAAAGTTGCACCCCAGATGTGTAAAATGAGGATTTGTTTTGTGTCATACAGGCAAGTATCACCACTTCACGTCTAAAAGCATGGCACAATTTGTCAACAAAAATCTATAAACACTGTCATTTAAATAGATAAATTACTGATAAAAGAAAACTCCTTATTGGGTGCACAATTATTGAAGCATTTAAGGGGCACAAAATTACATGTTAACATGTTTTAATGTTCAAAAAGCTCTTTATTTTTCTCTTTTCACCCTCTGTCTGAAACCAGAGCCCACATGCTCTGGGCGGCTCTGTTGTGATTGGCCATCGCTTAGAGATGTTCCGCCCCTTAGCCTGGAGTGCTAGCCAATAGAAGCACAAGTGTTACATAATGAGGTCCCTTTGTTGCAGAAGTAAACAAAGGAATCCAATGGAGAACACCGAAAAGCATAGCCTCACAATACAAATAAAAATGAACCTTAAAAAATAATTCCAACTCTTTTATCAGGTTGCGCCCAATAAAAAAGGACCCCCAAAACAATAGTATAATTAAAACAGTGCTTTCCAATAGCTTCAGATTGGTCCCTCATTTTCATATTCGTTAATTTATTAACAAGCTGGCACAGGAACACATCCTTATTGGACTCATGGGATTAATACAGACACGACCAAACATGTCATAATATCAAACATGCACACCCTCCTCTACAGGGAGCCGGTTGCCTGGGTGTGCAGGGTTTTGTGGCGCACACACACACGCACAGAAATAAACACTCCTTACTAAAAGCTGCATTCACAACAAATTAGTTTTTTCACTTTAATCGTGTCCACGTGGATAAGAACCATTATTGACAATGTTGCAGATACAAAATGCCGTATTAAGCAAACAACCCGAGGTTAAAGATTTTGAAATCTGAGCGGTAAACAACTCCAGGTAAACATCACATCACCTGAGGGCAACAAGAGAGTCAAGACGAGGTGAAATGTCACCAGAAGGAAAATGACAACTAGAAAATGCAGCTAGAAATTACAGTTGGTGATAAAACCTATAGAGTGAGGGGATGTTAAAAAACTACTAGTGAGTCATGTGAATTTTGTTACGAGCCCCAATTGGCCCAAAGTGTGAAACAAAACAAGCACAAAAGCAGCAACACACACACACACACACACACACACACACACACACACACACACACACACACACACACACACACACACACACACACACACACACACACACACACACACACACACACACACACACACACACACAACACACACACACACACACACACACACAACACACACACACACACACACACACACACACACACACACACACACACACACACACACACACACACACACACACACACACACACACACACAGAGAAACACATTCAGATAGAAATGGACACATAGACACACACAGACACAGCAAGCATACAGAGCCAGCTCTCGTGAGGCGGCATGTTTGCGTCGCTCACCAGGTCGTCCAGGATGCTGACGGGGAAATCGAACATGCACATCTTGACGGGCTGAGCGAGGGCTCTGTGCAGGCTGAAGAGAGACTTGGCTTCCATGCTGCACACTGACCAAGGCAGCCTCTCCACCGCTCGCAACAAACATACAAAATAATATTTAAAAATCAAAAAAAGAAAGAAAAAAAAACCCAAGAAGGAACTCCCGCAGCTGGCTGCTCGCTCGCTGTGGCTCTCACCAAACTGCGTGGAATCTGTCTGTACAAAATAAAAAAGGAATCCCTGTACCTCCTCCTCCTCTGTTCCAGCCACCAACAAACCCCCGCACTCCCCTCGTTTCCCTCCCTCTTCCTCTCGTCGCCTTTCCTCCTCCTCCTTGCCTCCCTCACCAGGGAAGGTCTTAACTGTCAGCAGCTGCTCTCGTCTTTCCGTCTTCTGGAAGGTATTGCCCAACAGCGCGGCTTCACTCAGCTGTTGCGCCACGACCGCAGCGTGTTTCCCTTCTCTCTGCTTTTCAAATGTTACAGCCTCAAGTGGTCAGACTTGCCTCACAACTGTACGTGTCTGCCTGGTAAAAAAGAAAATACCTCGCCAGATGAAATGCAGCAGGTACACAGAGGGGCTTCTGAGTTTC